TATTCTTAAAATAAGATAATTCAATAACATAAAAAGACAATCCAATAGTTATTTTTTTTCTTATTTTAAATCGAAATTATCTTGTTCCATTGGCAAAATGTCTCTTTTATCTCATTTCAAGAACAAATGCACTGATTTTAAGAAAAAAAGTGACATCTGGATTAGTTAAGTCAAGAAAAAAAGGTAAAAAGCTAATTGAAAAGTTAAAAAGTAAAATTAAAAAGTCAATAAATCTAGTTTACAATTGTATTTAGGTTTCTAAACTAAAACATGTAAGAGTCCGTATCAGCATTAATACCTCTAAAGTTATGTTGGACCCAAAAAAAAAAAGTGTTTCTTTCACTCTCAGTTTTCTATGAATATCTTATAGAAGCACTTTTGTTATTTTTCCTGATAAGTTCTTATTACATTGACAAGTTTTGCCATCAAAATATCCATATTTTTTTTAAAGTTACAAAGGTAATAAGGTCTTGTCCTGGATTCCAATACCACTATTGGCTTGAAATTTGGATTTTCTAAATTATACTAACTCAATGTGACTTTAACCAGGGCTGCTATGATTGAAATCCCAATTTTTTTTTTTTTTACAAAAACAATAGCAAAGAACAGTCATATGAAATAAGTTAGTTGCAAAATAAAAAACAAAAACAAAACAGGCTGATTTGGTTTTTTACAACCCCATTATAAAAAGATGTCATAGGTCAGAATTTCAATCATTATTATGAGACTTATTAGTGAAAATCATGACTTAACATTGTAAAGCTGAAAGTACATTCAATATGAGATTCAAACATTATTTTTTGCTGTTATTTCTGCTTGTAGCTAAAAACTAAAATTAGTTCACAATCACAAATACATTAAATGACAAGTCATTTGGCCAGGGCTTCTTTTCTGTTAATGGAAATTACATCTCCCCACAAGACAAAGCACAAGGGGTGCAAGTTTGTGTTTGGGTTGCTGTATTTTTACATTAATACTTAGTACCTTTGTAACTAAGTCAAAAAGTTTATTGGGTATCACAGCAAATGCTTGTTTCATTGCAACTGAAAAAGATTTTTTTTTAAATGCTTTCGGCATGTGTCTGTTAGTAATGTTCGACTAAGTTTGGAGAAGTTGTGTTCTCTCTGGTTTGTATATGGGAATCCCATTATTATGTAGTTGGACTGTCCGTCTTGAGATGGTGCTACCAGCAAGGCCCTGCATCTTCAGGAGGGATGGTCCTCCGCCCTGTTCGTCTCCATCACCATCAGCATCTCAAGTTAGATGCGACTTTTATGCCTCTACCTCTTTGAGGTATTCCAATGTGCATCCTCTATTTTGAGGTTTAATGCATGGTGACCACCAAAAACATCAAGAAAATAGCCTCATTAACTTTCCCAGAGTCCTGAGTAGGCACAATCCCTTATGTTTATATTTTCACATCTGTACCATTACCTAAAGAATGGTACCTTATGCTTTACCTAGGAATATACTAAACCCATAATATGAATTCCTTATATTTAAATCAAACATACAAGACTGTCCTAGATAGAACACCTTTCTTATCTACTACTGGATTGTTAAGTCTCCTACATTATTTTTAACAACCTTACATAGAATTCAGCTTAATTCTATAGAGCAGGGTTGTCAAAATTTGTTACTAAGGAGCTAAAAAAAATCACACTCAATGCTTCGTTAACCTAAGATTTTTTTAAATCTTCTGTACGAAAGGCTTGATATCAGTAAATAACTAAGCACCAGCATCAACAGACCAAAGCTGTATCAGTCTGAAAAACACATAAAAGATTGCTTCAAAATACATTCTGCAATTCCTATTCACATTCTAACATTTAACCCTTCACTTTGAGTTCAAATTAAAATAACCAAGAAAATCGCGTTGCCTCAAAAGATTAATCAGAAACTTTTGTCTACTTGGATCATGTTTAATGCTTTAGGTTTTTGCAGCTGTGAAATAATCAGAACCAAATATATTTTTCTAGGAATAGATTGGTTGGAAAAACAACTAATCTAGTTGGTTAAAACAAATTTGGTTAGATTAAACATATATAATGATCACAATTCTAACAAGGCACTGGTTTCAGTCCTGTCTTTAGTGATTTGTACTGTTGCTTTCTAAAGATCAGACAGTATATATGTGGTGTGTTACCCTTTAATCCAAAGGTTGTGGGTTCGATTCTTGGTATGAAGTTTTAAAAGTTGTACTACTTAACCAGTATTTTGGATAAATTGAGCAATTTGTATTGGTTTGCCCTTTGGCCAACATAGATGGGGTAAAAACACTTTGGTTTAACTAAAAGATTGGTTGAATAACTTCAGACCAGATTAAAACTTAACACTGTGATACATTTGATTTTTGAATAAAAGTGACAAACCATTCATTTTGCTCATCATTGCACAATTTTCACAAACTATTTCACTATGTGCTTGAGCTTATTTCACTAAAATGAAAAAACAGCGCACCTTAAAATATTCTCTTCTAAGACATTTTACTCAAAATCCCTTACAATGGATTTTATTATACACACCAATCATTAACAATTTCAAGGGAACCGAAATTCAGAGAATCAGATTTTGAAAGGACACCTCACAAGAGACAACTGATATTATTTTTAATTTTGAAAACAATGTATGACATGTTTTTTTTTACCTGTACATACCCCAAATAATGTTTCAAAGAAATGTACATATTCATCAGTGGAAAGAAAAAAATAACCGCCTAGTTTCATGGAATAAAAAATACAAAAAAAATACATGTCAAAGGAGCTATGCTGCATTTCCATCTGTCTAAAAAAAAAAAAAAGTACAAAAAAACCCCCAAAAATCTTATGCAGCTGTTATTTTTTTCTGTATCTACAAAATATTTCAAACAAGTATGAGCTGTATTTTTCTCGGTCCGATCGGCCTCCCACTCAGCTCCCGAATTGCAGTTAAGGCCTCCTGGCGAGACTCGAAAACCAAAGTGGCCGAGCCTTTAGGTTTTCCGCTGGCCTCGTACTGAAGTGAAACGGATCCGGGTATGATGCGATATCCGTAACAGAAATCATAAACCTCCTCAGTCCTGATCTGGAAAGGCAGGTTAACCAACTGCACACAGGTGGGACCATCGTACTGCTGAGTAGGTGCACCAAACCTCCCACGTCCTCCACTGCGCCTGTCCCGCGGAGAATGAGCTCTTACCCCACGAGGTTCGGAGTCATAGCCTCCACGGATACGCTCCTCTTGAATAGGTAAACTACCTTCCCTGGGTTTCCTCATATCAGAGTATGAAGCATTCTCACCAGATCCATAGTAAGGCTCCATGTTCCTGGCAAAGTTCTGCCCCGTTTTCGGTAACGCCTGCTGTACTTCTGGTTGCTCTTTGGACAGCTGGTCCATCTGAGCACGAGTAATGCACTTCACTGCAACTTCAGAGCCCAGAAACCGCCGTCCATTGAGAGAAAGGGCCCCCATTGCCTCCCTCTCAGACTCAAAGAGAACCAAAGCCTGCCCGACCCCTTCACCTTTATGGTCATACAGAACCCGTACCATGTTCTCTGTGACATTAAACTCGTTAAAAAAATCTATTATCTCAACCTTTCTCACGTCAAATGGGAGGTTCCTTACAAATGCACAGATTTTCTCAGAGTCATAAGGGTCCCTAGTAAAGGAAGATGAAGGCCTTTCCTGATAATTTTCAGAGTTACCAGGTGATCCACTTGGTTCATTTTTAGACTCCAGTAGCCTGATCATGTTCTCTCTTGAGATGGACCGGATATGAATCCATCGATTGAGAAAATGCACCTTCTCCTTACTTATAGCATCCCAATACTCACTGATGCTCTTGAAGAGCACAAAGGCCGACCTGGTTCTTCTGCCAGAATCGTCAGTTAGAAACAGAATCTGATCATTCTCGAGTTTTGCATTACGAAAAAGGTGCCTTATGTCATCTTTTTCCACTGCAAAGGACAGATTGTCCAACAGCACACAGTATTCCTCCTCATTAGGACCAACTGGCCTCGGGGCCACAGGGGATCGAGACCTAGCTTGATACTCTGGGGTTCTCCGATTGCGAACAGGTGCTCTTCCCCTTTCAAATGTCTCCATTGTGTCGTTAGCGGCTTG